CGACATATAGATATGAATTGCACATTGTAAAAATAATGCGGATAAAATTAACCATACCTATTTAAAAATCCCATGATATTTCGAGTCTTGAAAATTGAACTCATTTTGAGTTTCAATCAGAATTCTCTCCATCCAAACAAATGAATCAGTGCAATTTCCAATAAGAGAAAATCTCCGTCATTTTAACTGGCACATTAATAAAGTGTTAATAAAATATACCAATCAAGTCTAATATAAAATGTAATTAACGCTACAGAGATCGATTGTCTAACCATTGTTCGGGGCTGCTGAACTACGGAGAAACAAATAAATTAGTAATTTGGTAATTCTTCACTCAGAGTCACAGATCAATCATGATGATACACACTCTAGCTGTGAATTTGCAACCTTAGGACTTAGAAAATAAGATAGATAGTATCGTAAATTATGTGAATAATCGATACTTAAGTATCTTGGTTTACAAAAACCACCAACCGTACCTGCTTCTGTTCTAACAATACATAGAATTTCTATACTAATAAATCAGACAATTGAATTACCTACTTATTATTCATTTCTTTATTGGCATCTGGGGTCATAACGCAACGTGAAGAGCAGGCAATGGCTCGAGCATAACCATTAATTATAGTAAAATGATCATCTGACTATTACATGATATATTTTCCTTGGGGTCCCCGATCGCCATTATTCAAGGCTGTGTGTCGCCATGAAATCATTCAGACCATTTCACTTAAATTTGCATCAGACTAGTTCCTTTTCTAGCTTTGGTTTCGCAAGTTTCAGACACAACATTGTCTAGAATGTTCTACAATCTGTATGCTAATTAAATGATAGTTGGTTCGTAGTGTATCTACAGATGACTTGTCTGGTACATCGCAGAGTATGCAAGGGGAACTTAAAGTTTTAATTAGATTACTGTTTGGTATCTCACCACCGAGTCCGTAGTCTGTACTTGGTTATTGACTTTAAATTTGAAGGTTATATTGTCATTTGTAGTTTCATAAGTTATTAATGAAATACTTAGTATTTTATAGTACCTGCTGACCAAAGGCCTTTTCTTGCGGAGAAGGTTTGAGCATTAACCACCGTCATTCAGCAAGTCAATGCGGGTTGGCGATGTTAAACTTATAAATTAAAATTATGTAGAGGTATAGGCCTAGGTTTCCTCACGATTCCTTTCCTTTTTCCTTCACCATTTGTCAGTGATCTCTAAATTATTTTAGAAAGTACATATAACTCGAAAAACGTCACATAGGTACTTGCTGTTGGTAGGTTTCGAACTCTCAGGAGGGGTGTGCATGAGAAGCAAGTGTCTTAAGCCTCCTTCGGGCCACTACGATATCTATATGTAAGTATACCAAAAATAAAAGGCCTATATACTGTAACACATGCACGTCTCTATAACTTTTGCTTTCATCAAAGAAAGTATATTATTTTCCTTCATTGCTATATCGATACAGTAAATGATATCGACCTGCAGTTATGTTTCTGTTGTTGCATTAATCCTGATTAGATATTAGGAAAATGAGGCAGATGGGACATTGAACAGTGGCATAATGTGCACCTCTGCCTTCCCCTTCGGGGATAAAAGGCGTAGTGTTATGTTATGTTATGGGACATTGAACTTTATACCTACTATATATTGTTAATTTGAAATATTTTCTTTAACTTACAAAACATAAAGGAAGAAATAAATTATACAGTTAATACATAATTTATTATTATGGTCTAGATGGAATCAGTAGCCTTTCTCTATTTGACGCAGAGCATGAACGAAGGTTGTGCTTAAGCAATGACGCCTATATGTTTATTCTACGAAGTTTTTTTTATAGCAATTAAAATTACTATATTAAAAACCATTTCTTTATACTTATAATGAATCTGTTAACAGGTCTATTCTGTAAATGAAATATATTTCCAAAATAACTATCAGGGTGATCTGATACTGATCGATACTAATGCCAAAAATGCAATCAGTAACGTTTTTGTCTGTTTGTCTGTCTGTCTGTATGTCTGAATGTATGTTCCTTATAGAAACAAAAACTACTCGATGGATTTTAACGAAACTTGATGCAATTATCCTTTATACATAGTATGAAGAATAGACAAATATCGATATATTACGAAAGGCAAAGTCAATAGAAAATCTTCTTTATATATATATAATTCTTCTGTGAGTGTGTATGTCACTGAATTTCTCTCAAACGACTGGACCGATTTTGATGAAATTTTTTGTGTGTGTTCAAGAGGATCTGGGTATGGTTTAGATTCACAAATCAACCTGGCAGATGGCGCTGCAGTCAGAGTCTAGGTTAGTTATCCTAAACGGCTGAACTAATTTTAATGAATTTTTGTTTATACATTCAAGTGGATATGCAGGACAACGTCTGTCGAGTCCGCTAGTATACTATAGTATATTTTCCATCACGCTATAATTAATAGGAGTAGAGCAGTAAACGGAAATGTTGGGAAAACAGGAGAAGTTACTCCATTTTCTTAAGCTTCCGTCGCGTGTGCAGCCTTAATGGTTAAAGCTACATACAAACAATACTGTACATCTATAGTAAACATCCATTTTTGCATGTATTATTGTAACCTACACATGTTTTGGCAAATAAAACGATCTTTATCTTTATGTTTACCCCTGGAATCGCGGGCGAAGCTGCTGAAGCTACTAGGTAATAAAAAATAGCACCTACCACATTTGTCTGATATATCTCGACTTTTTCAAATTGTGTACTTTCAGTATGTAAGTGCACTATCTGTACAGTTCAACAAAAGTTATGTTAAAAACATAAAAATTTGAACTAAAAACGTTTCATAGATTTCTCCAAGACTGAAACTGAAAGGAAGTCGGATACATAAATGTTGTAACTGTCTTTAGACAACGAACTTCAGTTGGAGTTAAATCAAGCGGAACCAGGATACAAACGTAGTCTAGATAGTATTACTGTATGTATGCACATCAAGTTACATAAAACCAGTTTATCATTGTCTAGTTCTGTAAGACGTTTCTCCACATTCAAAGCTCAGTTTATACTGGGTTGTTATAGGTGGATGTGTAGGTGTGTCCACGGTCAATCATGCGTGAACGTACCAGTTTGAACTTTCCAGGTTTTATGAACAAATGCCTGAAGAGATTATTATTTGATGTCTTTCTACGTTGAGCGTGAACAGGGTGTTATTTTTAAAATACTTTATTTATTTATTTCTTTACTGTCACAACGGTTGAAAAAAAATCAAATTACTTACAGGAACTGGGCACAGTAACAACTATAATTTGGAAGATGAATGTGAAAGTTTAGGGATTGTCTTAAAATATTTAGGGAACCTAACTATCAAAATGTAATAATTACTACTTATCAAGAATACAAGAATAAGAACACTCACTCACAATCACAATAATTTCTGTATTCTAACAAAAATATATATTAACAACAGATTTAATGGTTAACAAAAAGTTCATTTTCGAAGTAAGAATTAGCATAGTCATTCTACACAGCCATGTCTCCTTTTTACCCATAATGGATACCGGTGAAAGTGATACGTAGAAATATGTCGATGCTTCTAATATTATACAAAACAAAACGCTTTGTAACTCATTAATGACTATCACATACTTCAGTCTATCAGAGACATAGACACTAACAGTCATTAGTCTTAAATAAAGCTTGCTGGTGGAACATTCCTGTTCCACGGCCAATGAGCAGACGGATTACCTGATCCTAAGTGATCAGGGCCGTCCATAGACACTCGCAGTCCTAGAAGAAACACAAATGTATTGCCAGTCTTTAAAGTTAGGATTGGGTAACACAAATATTTCTGATATTCTAAAACGAAGTGCTTAAACAACCCAACGCTAGTATCATAACTTGACTGCACGGTTGGTGCGGTGGCTGGGCAACCGGCTGCCGTGCAGTGTGCCGCGGATTCCCGCACGGATAAACACTTAGTGTGATCCACAAATTATTGTTCGGCGTCATGTGTATGTGAATTTGTATGTTTGTAAACGCACCCACATAAAGGAAAAAATTCTAGTAAGGGCAACGTTTAAAAAAAACAAACTTACATAACTATCAATAATAATTGTGGTGAGGATTAACCACGGTTTTCAAACAGTATACAGTTAACAGGTACAGCTACATGTATGCATTAATATCACTATTTACTTAGTAAGTAATGGCCCTCTCACTATAATATTATACTATAATATAAAGCGGAAGAGTCTGTTTTTTTTGTTTGTTTGTTTGAACGCGCTAATCTCCGTAACTACAAGTCTGATTTGAATAATTATTTTTGTGTTGGATAGCGCATTTATCGAGGATGGCTATAGGCTATAGGCTATGAAACTACGAGTAATAGGAGGTGAGCAGAGCGTGTGAAACCGCGCGGAAGTAGCTAGTGTATTATATAAGGTAGGACACTTGTCAATAACGCCGCTGTCTATCTGTCATACTCTGGTGTGTATAAACGTAGTGCGCTCTGCACATTATTATAACAAATCCAAGTAAAATAAATCCGACTATGGTTTATTAATCCACCAACATAACAATAAGTACTCTAAAACCCTTGAAACAATAGCACAATCGCATTAATACAAAATTTAACGTTTGCTTGCAATTAAAAACTAGATCATAAAAAGTGTTCGATAACATAAACGAAAGAAAAACTTTATTATCACCATTATCAGGCAAGACGTTAACTGACAAACCTAAACACTTAATAGTACCATAAAAAAGTCTATAAATTTCAAATAAAGTTCAAAAAACTTACTAGTTATTACTTGACAGTGACGACGCGATATAATGTTCTCGAAGAAAACATCAAAGTAGAACTCAAAAAGAATCTAATTTTAAATAAGATAAAACACAATTTTGTGTACTATAAGTTAAGTAGAATAAACCACAAAGATGAAGATTTTGAAGTGATCTTCAACATAAAATTGTACGGAATTGCGCACTGATCTACTCTGATTGTACAAGTGTTAGAAATCTTTAACGATGAATGCCACGGCAGTATTAGCCAGTTTGGCGAGCAGGCAAGGAGCTCTGTACACTATTATGATGTTGCAACTTACTGGCTACTTGTATCCAACTCCGGCATTACTGAAATGTAAGTTTCTTTCTTAATAAACAGTTGCTGTCTAAGATGACTTCTCTGGAATAGAATTGTCACCTTTTCTTCTATCATCACTCATAAACATCAATTTTCTTACATTTTTTCGCAGCTGGTGATAGTTTTGACTACATCATAGTCGGAGGTGGTACAGCAGGCAGTGTGATAGCGACCAGGCTTGCCCAGAAGAAGTACAACGTGCTCCTCATTGAAGCTGGACAAGATGCTCCTTTCGAAAGTGAGGTAAGTGCGGTACTATATTTAGCCGTTCATTGAAAAACCAGTATTTTAGGAAACTATAAAAGAATCTTATTGTTCCAGTATCCATCACTGATACCATACCTCAAAAATTCACATTCAGATTGGAATTATACTTCTGTGAATGACACATACAGCTACCAGTGTCACAAAGATAAAAACGTAGACCTAACCCAAGGTAAAATGCTTGGTGGAACAGGTGCATTAAACTTCATGATCTGGTCCCGAGGAAACCCTAAGAATTTTGAAAAATGGCATTCGATCACAAAAGATCCCACGTGGAAATGGGAAAATGTGTTACCATATTTCATCAAATCTGAAGCTATTCACGATTCAGCGATAATGAACTCTCCTCTAAAACATTCTTATGGTGCCAATGGATACATAGGCATCACAAGGGAAAATAAATCCTATACTGCTGATTATATAAAAGGCTTTGAACAATTGGGTAAACCAATTATTGCTGACATAGATGGAAACAGAAACGGGTACGCACGCGCTCTTATAACAGTGTACAATGGTACGAGACAAGATTCTGGATCACAGTACTTAAAACATGTTACTTACAGTTCTTATCTAGCGGTAGCAAAAGGTACTTTAGCAACAAAATCTTATTTGATAAAGATCGCAACGCAGTGGGCATTGAACTTATCACTGATGATGGAAGAAATATTACTGTTAATGCAAGACAGGAGATCATTATAGCTGCTGGTACTATGAAATCACCACAGCTGTTAATGCTCTCAGGCATAGGTCCTTGCAAAGACTTGGAGAAATTAAATATTTCTTGCATCGCCGACTTGCCCGTTGGGAAAAATTTGCGAGACCACATAGCAGCGTTCATTCCACATACAACCAATAAGAGATTAACAAGAGGTGGTGTAGACCCCAATGAATATCCCACCGGACTATTTATTGGATACGCGTCACTGAACGTGTCTCACATTAAACATTATATAAAATTCCCGGACTATGAAGCAACCGGCTTCATCATGAACAATATGAAAGTTTTAATACAATTCTGTGCATTTACTATTAACTTTCCAAATTCTCTCTGTAATAAACTATATGAGAAAGCCAATGGAAGGCAGGTCTTAGTTACTTTATTGAGCAATTTGTATGGGTACTCCCGGGGACAAGTTCGTCTCAACAGTACTGTTCCTCAAGACCCACCAGTGGTGATTACTGACAGCTATTCAAATGATAATGATTTAGACAATTTGGTTGACTATATTGTTGATTATTTAAAAGTTGAAGAGACAGAGGCATTTAAAAAATTATCAGCGTCTAGGGTAGATTTAACATCACCACATTGTGATGCATTTGAGACGGGAAGTCGAGGGTATTGGAGATGTTACTCTCTTTGCATGATGTCGAGCTTGGGTCATTATGGTGGGACCTGTGCTATGGGATCTGTCGTAGACAGCAGGCTACGTGTTCGCCACGTAAAAAAATTAAGAGTAGCAGATGCAAGCGTTATGCCCACTCTAGTAGCAGGTAATATTTGTGCAACAGTTGTCATGATTGGAGAAAAGGTATCTGACTTCATAATAGAAGATGCAGGATCTTATAATGATGTTGAACATGAACAAATTAGTGAAGATCAACTTGAAAATTTATCGGCCACGTTTGCGTGAAATGAGTACTATTATAAATAATTAATTAATAAATTACGTTTTTAATTGTATGTACCATGTTTCTTTGTTCTTTTTTTACATAAACTATCCAAATAATAAATTCAAACTTGGTCACTCATTGGCACTTATCAATCAGAAAAGTAAGTCCAGTAAAATATTTATGAATCATACACTAACTCGTCACAGCATTTATTTATTCAGATCCAAATCCTTTACCCACACGTGACCAATAAATGCCATGACACGAGTTAATAAAAGCATACAGCACTATTTTAATCAACAAACATTTTTCAACATTTTCATGAACCCACAAAAAGGTATAACTGTATTTATAAGCTAAATGAAGTGTGGACGCTGAAACCACTCGTCACCTCTCACTGGCCAATTAAAAGTTTGACACGACACGCAGTACGCGGAACTGCTATTTTAAAACATGTCACTATTTATTTCACTATTTTTTTCTGTTTCCATACATAATCATAAATAATATATAATCACAAGCTGACCCGGCAAACTTCGTACCGCCTCAATTATTATTTTTTTACCCGACTGATTACTCACCTTTTAAACCTTTCCTGGACTTCCACGATTATTTCAAGAGCAAAATTAGCCAAATCGGTTCAGCCGTTCTCGAGTTTTAGCGAGACTAACGAACGGAAACTCATTTTTATTTATATAGATAGATATATAAGATATAACTAATATTATAATTGGGACACGGTCGGTAGAGGGCGCCCATGTCAGGACATGTACTGACCCGATTGGCGATATATTAAAGAAGGTCCAAATTAAAAGTACTCATAACCGACGAGCATGCCAGTGATGACTGTTGATGAAGCGAAAGAGATAAGTAGGAATCGTAGTAATTGGCGTTCGATGTATCTGCCTCCCGCCATGGGAGATATGCGTGAAGTATATATGTATGTATAATTGGATAATAACTAACTAGAGTGAAGTTATATAAAAACTAAAGTATTTACAACTAAAATTAGCATGAGGAATATAGAAGAAAATAAAATAAAGGAAACCTAACGTAAGGAATAAAAAAAATGTCCTCATCGTTATCATGAGGTTAGATGACCTTTAATCATAATCATAAAAAATAAACATTTTTGACCTCCTGAAACGGGTCGTTTGTATCAATGAATATTTTGTTACGTTTGAAGAATGTTGGCTTTGACATCGCCAGTGTTGCGAGGAGCCAGTGGATACAAGAGGCGAGTTTTCGTTCGAAGTCGAGGACCAAGTGGAGGCCTTTGTCCAGCAGTTGACATCTTTCGGCAGTTTATGATGATGATGATAACATTGATAGTAAGTAGTCTTTGAATAAAAACATAGAATTGTAAGTACTTTCAAGTCTTCAGACAACTCAAACTTAACTTCACGCAAGCGATACTTATAAGAATATTTAGTTTCTACTATAACCAGGCGTACAGTCCGTAATATGCCAAACCAGCTAAGATCTCTAATAACATTATTTTATTCCGTCTCAGAAAATACACATCATTCAAAATGCATCGTCCTGGTTCCATTTTTACAAAAACAAAATATAATAATCTCTTATTTTAAAACTTCAATGTAAGTCTTAATGCTGTTGAAATAAGATCCCTCATATAAGCAATAGGATGAACTGAGTAGAGCATATATCTTGCGAAGGCTTTACTGGGATCGAGAGACTTGGATATAGCAAAGTTTGTGTGACTTTTTGGTATGGTGCCTGTAACAGCGGATTTTGGAAATATCGTAGTTTTTTGAAATCGTAGTTTTTAGTATCGTAGTTTTCAACAACCTACTTCGTTTACCAAGATGGCATGTAGGTCTCTTAGGAATCGATGTTAAATATCCAAAAGGACACTTCGTCATTTTTAACTGGTATGGTACTCGGGTCCAGAGTATTTTTTCATAGTACAAGCCGGCCGGTATGCAATCGGCATCGCCCATGGACACTTGGAACACTAAAGGCGTAGCAAGTGTGTTACCGGCCATTTGGGATAAGGGATTTGAGGATTATTGGAGATTCAGTAACTGGCGAATGACGCAGGCGTTGTGTCACGTCCGTTTTATTTGAAACCTTGGTATGAATCTGGTCCAGCCGGTCCATTCTTGGTCGTAGCATAGATAATATATTTAAGTGTGGGAACATTTAAATATATTAGTATAATAGGAATAAATAAATGATCATCTATGGAGCATTTTTCGATATTAGAAGCGGTATTTGTGGATAATCACGAAAAGTGAGTTTTTTCGTTTTCTCTCCGCATCAACATAATAAACCTGATAGTTATTTGGTAGTCTTAAGACTTCATTTCGTTCATTAATTTTGTAACTAACTAATTTTGTTCTAACTGTAGCATTTTATAGACATTTTACCAGACGTTAAGATAACAACAAAATTAACATAAATTAAAACTTTAAACCCAAGTTAACACAGCTGACGCTTGATCAACAAGTTTGTTTACAGAATATTTTAATATCTTCTTACATTTGGTTAAGTCATTTTCTTAATTGAAATTAATTGTTAAATCTTATTTCTAGGTTTTGTTGCTATAAACCGAAATAGAAAATAATGAAACAAAAGTAAACATTTCTAAATATTTTTATCAACAGCCTATAAGTGCCCACTGCTGAGCAAAGCCTCTTCTCGCACGGAGAAGGTTTGAGCATTAATTACCACGCTTGCTCAATGCAGGTTGGAAATTCCAAACTTATATTAGAAATTATAAGTCCAGGTTTCCTCACAATGTTTCCCTTCACCGTTTGTCAGTAGTGTCTAAATAATCTTAGAAAGTGCGTATAACTCGGAAAATGCCACATTGGTACTTGCTGTTAGTAGATTTCGAACCCGCATCATGAGAAGCGGGCATCTTAAAAATCCGGACCACCACAACAAAAATAAAACCACGTCTAAATATTTTATTAAAGTTATATAGGTGTAAAACAAAACTATTATAGCAACGATAGCCACATTATAATAGGTTTTGTTCATCATGGTCATGCAATGTCATTTGGCATATAATAAATTTATTGGGCATACCAAGTATCTGGTATTACCAGATACTTGGTATGCCCAATCTCACGACAAGCTTTGAAATAATTTGAATTGAACAGTAATTTGGTCATGCAATCTGAACCTATACTATATTTCAGTTAAAGATATCTGCTTCATAATGTTGTTGCAAAAATAGTTAAGTCATTTCCTACATGGTCTGCAACGAATTTGTGGTAACTCACCATCAGGTGTTGGATATGTGCTTAATTGCGGCACTTATCATCAAGCGAGCCATAACCTCTATTATATTATGTAATTATGAAAAAATATTTAATATCTCCGCTAGCACTGACACCACACCCGATTTAGTGCGCTGCTGAACTTTCCCAAAGAAGGATATTGTGACAAATGACTTTGTCATTTTATCATAACAACCAGGATCGTGTGCACTGAAGCCTGCACCACGGCTTACAAGGTCACATCTAACGAACAACATATTCTGATGTCCAGCACAAATTAGTTCAGAAATAAACTTTTTGATGACTTGGAAACACTAACTTGGTGACGTGAATTGTCGATAATTATATGTATTTTGAAAAATAAACACTAACTATTAAATTTTATTGGTATTAATTTTTTGAATGAATAGATGCATACGTATATTCTTCCTTCATTCATGAATGTAAAAAAGATCGTGAAGTAAATAATGGTTAAGTGTTATTCACGGTTTCACAATGGAACAGTCTAAACTACACCTTAATACGTTAAATACGAATCGCCAAATGAGAAAAAGAAATATATTCCCTGGGAAGGCAAGGACAAACATTTACTAATTAATTTTGTTTCAAAAACAATGTCTAATGAGGGCGTATAATAATTTTTTCTTCGGTTCTTACGCCTACACTTTGATAGCAATGACGTCACTTCACTTATTGTCAACTTTTTGTGCTCCGTGACAGTTACTCCTACCATCAGAATTAATTAATCCAAGTTATTTCTGCAGGGATTTATGAAAATCTTATTTTAGATTTTGAGTAACGTAAATGTCACAATTATTAAATGACGTCACGCAGTCTATTTGGGTATAATAAGTAGTAGATTGGAACGAGTACATATTATATTCTTTACAAAAATTAATAAAAATATGACTAAAAGATGCACCTTTTAGTCGTGTTTCGTTTCATGTATGAAAAGCGAGCTAAAGCTTCAGTACCGGATAAAATAATTTATACTGTAATCTGTAAATGGAATAGTAGAATTCCCAGAAAAAAATATGAATGACTGAATAATATCGAACGTGTGTTGGATTAAAAAAACGGCAATTTATAACGTTCATTGAATTAATGTCAAAGGAGCAAGACGTGCTTTTACAAAAATCACTTTTTTACCTAAGCTAAGATATAAACTCGTCCAAAAAGACTACGATTCTACAAACATTTTACAGAATACCTCAGCGGTAGGAGTACAAAAACTCAAACTAATGAAAAGGACGAACCACAAAAAGGGGAAAATAAACCTTACATTAGCATTTCAAAGGGCTTTCAAATAGTTTCTGTTTGTACCTCAAAGACGAAGACACAATCTCGGAGAGACGCGATCTATTCAAAGTAGCCAGTAGCGTCGAGAAGGTTATATACCTCCGATGATAGAAACAGGGCTCAGGTACGCAATATGTCTCTGTAATTCACCTGATGTTTATACTTTATAGCGCGACTATCATTTGCCCTCCGCAGGCCACCAGGGAATGTTGAGTACCTAATACATTTTTTGTTAAATATGTGTAATAATGGTTCTTATGGATTTTCAACTGCTATCACAAATGTTTGTCTGTCAACCAAATTGTGTGTACTTTAATATATGTAATGTATAGTTTAATTACTTGAATCCCCGTAGCCATAAACATCATGTAATTTCATCCAGAACAAATTTTGAATTATTGGCATTGCATTAAAGTCAAACTATAAATAGTTAGAAATATGATAAAGTGCAGAGATCGTAACCTGGTATGAAA